AGCCGGGCGGGGGGGGCCTTCAGGAGGAAGGAGAGCCGGAGCTGAAGGAGGTAGACCTTGGAGTCTAGGAGGGGGGAAGTGATGGCAAAGCCACCGAAGCCCCACTGTCCTGAGATAAGGGACCCAGGAGTGGGGTGGGGGTGGGGAGTGGTGGTTCTAGGAGTTGGGAGAGGGAGTGCATGGACAGGACTGTGGATTAGATGGCGTGCGGCCCTGGGTGCCAACTGGAGGCATTTGGAATTTATCCTAGAGCAGTGGTTCTCAACCGTGAGCCGGCACCAGTGTCTGTTGGAGGTCTTCTTAAACTGATTGCTGGGCCCCACCCCAGAGTTTTTGAACTTGCATTTCTAACAAATTGTCGGGGATGCTGCTGCTGCTGCTGTTCTGGGATGGCATTCTGACGATCGCTGGCCATGAGGCAATGGGGCAACGGTTAGTTGGGGAGTCCTGGGAGAGGGGAGTACTGCAAGGTGACCAAGCTCGAGCCTCGGTTGGTGGAGGTGGGGTTGGAAAGGAAGGGGGAGCCGGCAGTCTCTGCGACTGGCTGACTCTGGTGACCCAAAAGCGGAAGACGCTGCAGTGGGTGGCCCCACATTACCCAGGCGAGGCCGGCTTTGGAAAGACGACCAAGCGTCCGTGCTCAGGCATTTCACGTCTGCAGAGACAGTGGCAGGACTGTGAAAGGGGGACTCTGGGTTGTGCCTCAGGAGGGCTGAGCCATGTGCACCTGTGGGGGAGGCTGCTCCCTCGGGGGAGGTATGAGCACCCCGGAAAGACGGCGGAGGGGGGAGCCTGCAGCCACAGCGTTGCTGCTGCTTCTTGGAAGCAGGTAGGCCCACACAGGGTGCAGACTCACGGCCCTCTCCTCAAACCGCGTACACCAACCCATCTCCACGACGTGGAGGAGGAGACCGAAGCCCCACTCCCGCTACCAGGGAGCCGCAGCCCCTGAGGGAAGGAAATCCCAGCGTGGCCTCCGTAGAGCCATGTGGCTTTCTCCCCTCCCACAGAGGCCCCATCTCTGGTTCCAGAGCAGACACGCGGCAGGTTTTCTTCATTTACGCCATCTTAAATGCATTTGCTAAGCTGTGCCGAGAACTTGTGCTCATGTCAGGTGATAAACACCTGTATGTCTTTCACACACTTTCCACACGGCAGCGAGAGCTAGTCTCGCTTCAGGGGCGGGGGTGGAGTGGGGGTAGCAATAGGCGATTTGTAACTCCCTCTCAAAGCAGCACAGATCCCTTCAAAGTGAGTACCCAAACAAAGAGACTTGAAGGTAACCACTTCGAACTGTCGAAATATCGGGTTATACCTGATACATCTTATTTGACTCAAAATCCTTTAGGATACCCAATCTTGCAAAACTTAAGACTTCTCTTTTAAGAGCACCATTTCACTGGGGGCTGTATTATATTCCTTAAAACCAGGGGCCTCAGGACTGCTGGTTCTGCCTGACAGAGGCATTTGTTCCTTTGCATTCTGCGCCTTCGGTTGCCAGTTGTATAGGCCTCTGGCATCTGATGCAAGCTCAGCCTCATTCCTGGTGTTTCTTCGCTGCCACCAGGGGAACAGAGGTGGCCCCGGAGACTCACTTCCCAGCATAGATGGTGACTGGAGGGTTAACACAAATGCAATCCCAGCAGCCCTGCTCAGCTCTTGGGGCCATGGGGCAGTCTAGAAGCAAGGGCAGTGGGCAGAGCCCCACAGTCAGAGGAAGGGCCAAGTTCCAAATCCACGTAGCCTCAGATATTGAAATCAAGGCAGTAAGTGGCCAGGGTCTCCGGCATCCAGTTAAGAGCTAGGGCGGTGGTTCACAACCCTGGTTACACATTGAAATCTGGTGAGCTTTCAAGAAATGCCAGTGCCTGTGTTTCACCCCCAAGATTCCGAGTCAGTTAGCCTGGAGGGGGCCCTGGGCATCGGGAGTCTTCAAAGCTCCCTAGATGATGCCAACACGGAGCCGGGGGACTGCAGGCAGCCCAGTCACATTGTGTTTTCCTGGAGTAACTATTATGTGGCAGACATTAGAAAAATAAGGAGGAATAATTCTGTATTCAGGAAGAGAGGAGGTCAGGAGAGGTAAGGAGGGCCGGCCAGTGTCTTGGAGTGACTGTGTGTGTGTGTGTGTGTGTGTGTGTGTGTGTGTGTGTGTGTGTGTGTGTGTGTGTGTGTGTGTGAGAGAGAGACATAGTAGCACTTTTCAACAGAACATTTGATCACTGGTCACACACTGACAGAGTGAGTGTTGGAGGCACTTGGGGGAGCCTGGCCACAGTGGGGCTGAGACTCGTGCTGGCTCCTGGGGTGCAGCCCCTCCGTCCTGGGTGCTAGTCCTGGCCACATCCCCGTTTGAAGGTTGGGGCCCAAGAGGGCAAGTGGCTGCCAGGCCAAGTACAACCCATTAGTCCGTTTGTCCCTCTTTCACCAGCATTGCCCTTTTCTTCTCTGAATAGATGGAAACCAACATGTGGCCCCCCTCCAGAAATGACATTCATTCTGAAGAATCCCCTACCCCCACCCCAAGGAGCTGGGTTATGCTTTGTGTGTATATGCATGCGTAGGATTCCTCACCAACGGGAAATCTCCTGTCTTTAAAAATTTGTAGCACGTTAGGATTAACTGCTACCTGCTTTTGATACTGGGGCTTGTGAATGCAAACACTAGATCTGTGGTCCCCAACCCCTGGTCCATGGCCTGTTAGGGACAGGACTGCAAAGCTTTACTGCCCCAACCTGGCCCCGCCCCCAGTCCATGGAAAACAGGTGAGCAGCGGGCCACTCCGCTCCCCGTCGCTCTATCACCGCCTGAGATCCGGCTCTCCCCTCCCTCCCCTGCCCGGTTCGTGGAAAAATTCTCTTCCATGAAACTGGTCCCTGGTGCCAAAAAGGTTGGGGACTGCTGCACTAGACTGAACAAGTGGTAACTGGCTTGGAAAATGCTAGACCCAGGGGGCTTTTGCCCTTCTACAGCCAGGGTGTGTCCACATAAGCAGCCCCTTGGTAGGGTTGAGCACGTCCTCCGGGGAGCCCCGTGTGGGGCTCTGTCCCAAGCGCTGTGCTGTAACCTGCCACTTTGTCCCGACCATGGAAGTTCTCGGGTGCTCTGCACTGAGGCTCCCCCAGCACGGCTGTGACACAGCGCCGCACGTCCCACCACCGCCACCCTCCGCCCCCATTTCTTCAGTCTCTCCAGAGTATCCTAGTGAACAAACTCGAGTTTTCACTTCAAAGGAGCAGGAAGAAAGCTGTGCTCTCCAGCGGGTCATGCAGTGCCACTTTGAGACAGTTTTATTTGGGCAGTAAAACCTATGAGTTGTTCTTGGCAAAAGTTCTAATGAAATGGAAACCTTGAAATATGCTTAGAGCAGTAAATATGGCCTCACCCTGGATCTTGGGGACCAAAGGTTGTAGGCGATCTTATTAGTGGATCTGATTTGCTTTCCGGGAGGCTTGGGATTGGCGCATCCTTTCAGAACGCAGAGGGGTCTGCACCATTTGCATTGATTGAGCTCTTTGGTACTTGAGGTCAGAGTCATTGCTGTGCGTGGCAGAGAGCTGAGCTTTGCAAAGCGTGGTCCCTGGACCAACAGCATCTGTATCGTGTGGGGACTTGTTAGAAATGCAGGTTCTTGGGCAATATTCAAGACCTCCACGTGATTTTGGTGTATACTAGGGTCTGAGAACCACTGGTTCTGTATGTCATGGCTTTTAAAAAGTAATGGTAGGAGAGGGAAGAAAGGATGTCCACTCATGACCCCCTAAGACTGAGCTGCCCCCGTCTACTGAATCTGAGCTAGCAAAGGCAGTCCAGGAGTGTCACCCAGGAAGAGGGGACATTGCCTGTGTGGACCAGTGTGCAAACTGGGCAGGTTGGGTTTCTGTGGCAGGTTTACCTTGTTGACTCCACATAAGCAGGGAAGGTGGTAGCAGGTGTCTGGAGAGGGTGTGCACATTGTTTTGATGCCGTCAACTTTGATTCTGAATGAGGGGAAAGGTTCTCTGCATCTTTTTGTTTTTAAAATTAATATCCACTATATTAGAGCAACAAATTAAAAGATTTTTAAGGTTTTTCATTCAGTTTACAAATCTTATAATCTAGCAAGTTTTTGCAGTCACTTCGGGGGCTTTGAATAATATTTGGCTGCCTTTACAAGCTTGTGCTTCACAACTGTTAAACATTTAAAACTGTGTTTAGAGATTTAACATTCAATTTCATTTTCAAGTTCTTTGGTTGTCTGATTAAAAAAACAAATCCTTCACAAGTACTTAAACAATTCTTATAAACCTAATAACGTGGTCTTATAAACATGGGAAGTCTTAAATTCTCTTACACGTTCTAATACTGCTTATAAACCTAACTAGATTTGAAAATCACAAGTCTAAATCAGTGATACATTAAATTAGAATTGCAAATCTAATTCAGCACTATGCCAAATTCTCTTAAACACTATAAGTTCTGAAAAAAATGTGTAAATCTATCATGAAACTATTAATACTACAGCATCATTAATACTAAGAATACTATTAATGACTGAGTTCATTGTCTCTATATTTAATTTTAAATGTCTCCAGGGATAAGATACATTTTCCCATTAGGAATATAATTGTCATTCCCAGCAATTTTGGGGTGGCCTCAAATAGTCTTTTGGGGGCAGGATTTTAAAAATAATTTTTAAAAAAAAGGTTTTAAAAATCGATAAAGTAATCCATCTTCTCTGAAAGCCAGTCTGGAAAATGGATGCTGTTGTACCTATCTCTGCACCCCCACTCCTATGTCATGCCCCCACCCCCAAACACAGCTGCTCAGTGGGATGTTTCTAAGTCATGCAGAAGCTCACTCTTGGGCTCAGGTAAATCTGAGCAGTTTGCAAAGAAAAAATCCCAGACATGGAAAACCAAACCACAGCGAGGAAGCCTTGCTGCCCTCAGGTTGCCAGGGGTGTGGGCGCGTGTGAATGAAGATGACCAATGTCCCGTTTCCCTCTCCTTTCTGGGCAGGTTGGCCTCATCCAGCTTGGGCAGGAGCAGGTGCTAATCCAGCCCCTGAACAACTCCCAGGGCCCGTTCAGCGGACGCGAGCATCTGATCAGGCGCAAATGGTCCCTGAAACCCAGCCCAGCTGCCGAGGCCCAGACACCTGGGCAGCTCTGCGAGGTCCTAACAGGTGAGTCTGGGCGATAGCGTGACTGGCTTAGAGCACACTCACAGCTGGCACCCTTTGTGTGTCCCCAGATGTGCTGAGGTCACATGAGGGAGAACTTACCTTCCCATCTTTGGAAACTGTTTTATGGCCCCCGAGGCCATTTCCTTTTCCTTTCTATGTGTATGAGTGTCAGCACCCCTTTGAAAAAGTCACTGTTTTATTTCTGCAAGGAGCTCGGGCTCTCTTCTATGCAGCGCCTCAATTTTATATGTGAGGAGCAAGTTGAGGCCCAAAAAACCTCAAGGGCTTATTTGTTATCAAACCCCAGGTTGGTAGCAGAGCCAGGATGAGAATTCTCTCCTCTCGCTGCCCTGGCCAGGGCTTGCTCAAGACAGCGGTCCTCAGCAGTGGCCACAGTGACGAGAGCCGCCTGGGGGACTATGAAGCGCTGGTTCGCACAGTGTGGGCCAGCAGCATCTGGGAATGTGTTCGAAATGCCATTCTCAGGCCAGACCTGCTGAATCAGAAACCCCGGGGGTGGATACAGTCATCTGTAGTGCCACCGGTCCTCCAGGGGATTTGAATGCAGGAAAACTGTGAGAACCACTGCTCTCAAAAATGCCAAGCACTGGCCTGTCCCCGTATTCTGATCTTTTTGTCTGGGATGTGACTTGTGCCTGTGTTTTTAAAGGTCATTTTGATATGCAGTGTGAGGAGAGAACTTGGGGCTCTTGTATTCTGTGCCTGTCTTTGAGCAGCCTGTGAATTTGAGCAGCAGGTGTTTAAGAACATTGCGTGGTGCTGAGTCACCAGCAGTCTGCTTGCAAGTGTCTCCTGATGAGGTTGGATCTCAGGTGGCCTTTTCTCCCGGGAGATCATGGGACCCCGTAGCTGACCTTCGGGAGTTGCACTTTTGTAGTTTAAAGACTTATCTTTGTATGAAAATGTAGAGTGTCTTGGTTTAGTATTCCATGGACTTTGGAAATAAATTATGTGACTAGGATGACCTTGTTATTTATTAACCAGTTTTCCAGCTCAGCCCAGCCATTGCGTGCAGACCCGACAGAATCAGGTTGTCACCCCCCCCCCCCTTAGCCTAGTCTACATTTGGCGGTGGGGTGTTAGAGGTGATCGTGCTCGATAAAGGCCATTTCTGAAACTACAGGCGAGCTTTGGTCATAAATGGAGAGAGCATGCCACCAGACATTAGGGTTTTTCTCTGTTCCTTTCTGCACCCTTACAAGTGGGAAAGACAGACCTCGGCATAAAATTACTAGCACCTAAAAGATACCCTTTAATAGGAAACGGAGGTTTTGGGAAGTCTGATGGTCAGTTGTGTGTGGGTGTGACGTCAATGTGTTCTTTTTAATGTGAGCCCCTGACCCTCCCTAGGTCAGTCTCAGTGGACTAAACGACAGTCAGTCATTCTAAATCTTTGTGCGTTTTCTGCTGCTGACCTGAACGTATGGGTTGAGAAGCAGAGGGGTTTCTCTATGGCAGTGGTTCTTGGCCTTGGCTGTATGTCGGTGTCACCTGGGAGACTTTACAACTACCCATGCCTGTGTCCCACTCCCAGAGAGCTGCTTTGATTGGCCCCAGACACAGCTGGGGGCACCTGGTGGTGTAAAAGCTCCCTGCGTGGTTCTGATGTTTAGCTGGTGGCGAAAACCACCACATTAAGGAGTATTAAACATGAGGAATGGCACCGTGGCCCAGTGGGAGTGGAAGTTCTCAGGTGAGCACCTTCCAGCAGGGCCCTGGAGTGAAACCGAGGGCAGGAATGTTCTATTCCCCCTTCCGTCCACTCACACCAGTGCTCACCAACCACTAGCCGGTGGTCAGAAACCCAGTGTGCTCGTGGATGAGATAATGGAATGTTTGCCTGATGCCCGGCTTCCATCGTCTTTAGTAAGGATTGCTGACAAAATGATAAATGGTGCTTGTGTTTGCATTTTTGTCGCTATGACTAGTTTTGAAGCACTCTTTGGATAGACTGTTTAGCCTTTAATGAAGGAGATAAAATTAACAAAACCAGGGTGGGGTGGATGTGATGGAGAATGAGAACAAGAGCAGCCATGCAAGACTGTAGGGAGAAATTTCTAAACTTGCTGAACAAATAATCTTCCCTTCCCTGCTTTCAAATCTCACGTCAGTTTGCTTTGCGGTGCAGGAGCAATGTGTGTATTTAAGGTGTTGGCAGACGCAGGCTCTGTACTAGGTAGGAACGCAGACGAGGGTTACGTATTTTGTTTCTGGTCCTTCTTGCTTCGCATGAAATGCTCAGTAAACTTTGTGGGTGTGTTGAGAAAGAGAACGGGCCTTTTACTAGGCTTAGTTCGTTAGCAGTCAACGAGGCCCTATCTAGTTTGGATTAGCCTTAAAACATTGGGAGGTTAGAAGTTGAGAAAATTAATTTCCTGGGACACCAGCAAAGTAAATTCTAGAAGTTTTCTAGAAAGATTAATCATATTAATCCAAAATTTCCCATGGGAACATATTCTTTCTGGCTGAACAAGGCAGTGGCCGTAGGTTTCACTGCGCTCTGTTGTTGACCTTGTTTGTGTTGCTCTAACTTTGGACATGGTCTGAGAGTAGTAGCCTCAGTGGCTCATGCAGGTGAGGAGGAGTCTGATAACTCAAATTCCTCCATGGAGCCCTCAGTTTACCTAAGAGCTGATCCTAGGTAAGGTGCCTTGTGTTTAGGGTTTTATGTGTGGGCAGGGCTGTGGCAGTAGAACTGACAAGGTAAAGCCACCTGGGAACTTCTTCCTTCTCTTGCATACCACTGAGGTTGCATTTCTTGCAGTTTCTGAGGCTCTAGGCGAGGCGATGGGCCAAACCCATTTCCTATATAGCTCCTTATTTTTAGGACCTATAAACTGATTCATAAACTACCCCTCCAGGTTGGAACTTGGCATAAAAATATGGAGTCAGTAAGCCTCCTTTTTTGTTGTTTTTGTTTGTTTTTGGTGACTGCATGAGTTTTTGGAGGTTTTTTGGCTATCCTCAACAATGAAAATGGTACTTGGATATTTTGAAATGTTCCTCAATTTTTAAGTGGTCATTTTGACTTCAAAATTTTTCATCTTTCTTCCACGCTTATTTTAATTTCTCTGTTCCTATTCAGAATCTTCCTGCTAGCATTTTCTTGGTCTTTAGTAACCATTTGCATCTTTATCTCCTAGACAGTGGTGGATGCCACGCATAGAGGGTAGAAGTAGCAAATAGTAAAATAGAAGATGAATTTTCCATTAGCATTTTCTTTTTCTTTTTAAAAAAGAAGCCCAGGCTGGAGTTCAGTGGTATGATCATAGCATAGCTCACTGCGGCCTCGAGCTCCTGGACTAAAGCTAATGCATTTTCAAAATAGGAACCCCCAACATTTTGAGCAGTGGTGAGCTCATTGGAACATGCATATGCCAACCAACAGTGGTGCCTCTGAAGTATTGATGTCTACTTTATAGGTTAATTTCTGTTATGATTGTTTTATAAAAATCATTGTAGCCATTTTTAGTATTGCCTATTTTGCTTATAGCATTATAAAGGTAATTTTAGTGAGTTATTTGGAGGAGACTGCAACTCTTCAGAAATTGTGTATTGCTAGTTTATATAAGAATTTGCACATATAGTACTGTGTGTATATACTCTGTAATACATAATTGGTCAGTACTTGTGCTTTGTATCAATTAAGATTTGTTTGGTTTGGGGCTAGGTGCGGTGGCTCATGCCTCTAATCCTAACACTTTGGGAGGCTGAGGTGGGAGGATCACTTGAGGCCAGGAGTTTGAGACCAGCCTGAGCAAGAGCAAGACCCCATCTCTATTAAAAATAGAAAAATTAGCTGGTCATCATGGTATATACCTGTACTCCCAGCTACTTGGGAGGCTGAGGCAGGAGGATCATTTAAGCCCAGGAATTTGAGGTTGTAGTGAGTTATGACCTGGGGCGACAGAACAAGACTCTATCTCAAAAAAAAAAAAAAAAATTATATACATATGAAAAGATTTGGTTGGAAATGATAGAAATCAAACTGGCTTAAATGCTAAAGACATCATTGACATGAGCTCATGGAACTGACAAGTAAAGCAGGAGGTTGGGCTTCAGGTAAGGCTTGCCCAAGCTCTGCTGCTCTGTGGTTCTTTCTCCATGTGACAGCTTTGTCCTCACTTGGCTCCTCTTGAGATGACAAAGAGGCAGCTAGGATGAGGAGGCAAACCTCTGTGTTTAATCAGAATTTGAGGTAGGTTGGCTTGGATTGGGTTCACCACTAGTTTGAAATGTTTTGAGGCAGGATCAGGTTTCTCTTTCTGAAGAGTTTTCGTGGGACCTATATGTCCCAGCCACCAAGTGGACTACGGAGGTATCACTTTGTTCTCTGTCCCTGTCCTGACTTTCTGCAAGCCACCACACACTTGGGAAAAGTCTGGAGGAGTAGATTTAGGACACTTCTAATCCAAGACTAATTCATCATTCCAGCCCACAGGGTTAAAAATCTGGCTGGTTCCTTCTTATCTCTAGGATGAGGAATAATAGATGTGGTTAGCGCCTCATTTCACCTGTGCCCAGGGATAAAAGAGGCTGCTGGCCTTTGCTCACTTAGGGAGGGCTCCCTCTCTCTGAAATTTATTTCCTCTAAGCTTCTTTGAAATCTCAGCTATCTAGTGGGTAGGGGGAGATTTTGTACTAATAGATTATCCTATGTTCTTTGTCATCACAGCGGTAGTTGTGGTCTTTCACATCTTAACTGAAAGCAGAATCTAAGAGAGATGGAATTAAATTGCTACTTTGAGTTTGTCCAAGTTAATATTCTAAACATTTATTTACATATAAAAATATTAACTCTTAAAAGTAGTCACCACTGTTTTAAGAATTATCCTGTGAGACAGAGAAGAACCTTGGTGTTAGAGGCCGGATTCTGTCTCCCTTTATGTGGCCCCAGAAGAGTCCCTTAACATGTCTGTGTCCCTGTATTAGTTTGCTGGGATGCTGTGACATAGAACCACAAACTGGGTGGCTTAACA